GAGAATGTGGTAGAAGCAGATACTATAGCAACTTTTAAAAACCATCTTGACAGATACATGAATAGGCAGGCAAAAGAGGGATACAGACAGCATAGAGGTAAAAGGTTCTTAGGCTAGAAAGGTATCATGTGTGAGCAAAGACTTAGTGAGCCGAAGGACCTGCTACTGTACTGCACTGTTCTTTGTTCTTTGTTATTCCTTTACAGTACTCCCGTCAGACAGAATGCCCTTCTCTTTCAAATCTCCAGAACTTCATTTAACTGTGACTTCAATTCCTTCTCTTGAAAATTCATTGGCCTCTTCCTGGAGCCTTCGTGTAATTGAGCTTACACATCCTCAGCTTCAAATTCACGCATGGAGTGTAAACAAACACTTCTGATCTGGAATGTTTAAAACTAAAATTTTTACACTGAGATAATCCATTTCCTAATGATTGTAAACTACCTGCCTTCTTTAGACGCAACTACCTTACACATCTAGCTTCAGTACACACATCTGTAAAATCTGCCAAACTGCAACCTGAATACTTTTACCTAAGTTGTGGGTGTTGTCCCTCATCAAAAGAAAAATAAATCAATGTCTTACCTTTTAACTAAAGGCCAATGCATAACTGTTTACTCTGTTTGCCCAAAAACTCTCTCAATGGAAAGGAAACTCTATTACACGCCATGAGTCTTCTTCTAATACCGTGTTTTAAAATAAATCACCACGGCTCCAGCGAGATTTATCTAACAGTAAAATTTCTTCACAGACTCAAAGCGAAGCCACATGCCACTAGTTCAAAATCCAAATTCTAAATTAAATGATATTAAAATATATATAAATCACACAGCTAACATCACAATTTTTTTTGCCAATGTGTATATATGGATATGACAAAAGTCCTCATTTTTTCAGGTGCATTCAAGTCCTGTATAATGATTCTTAACATAAAGAGCTCTTTGAGGGAATAACAGGCAATGTGGATAAAGGGAAACCTGTAGGTATGGTGTACTTGCATTTCTAAAAGGCATTTAATGATATTTAAACAACATGCTTTTGTTGTACATGGTAAAGTATTGGTATTGATAAAGGATTGGGTGGATAACCAAAACAGAAACTGAGGATACATGGGAAAAGTGGGGGAATCTTTGGATTGGTAAATTGTAATGAGCGGATTCTTAAAGGGATCAGTATTGAAAACTGAACTACATACAATTTATATCAATGACTTGGAAGTCTGTAATAGTAGCTAAGTTTGCTGATGATACCAAGATAGGGAGGAAAGTAGGTTGGGGATTGCAGTTAAAGGGATATAGACAGGTTAGGTGACTGTGCAAAAATTTGGCAGATAACATGGGAAAAAGTGAAACCAGTCCACTGAACAAGAACAAAGAATGGAAGAATGAAAAAGTAGTGTATTTATTAAACGGAGAGACACTTGCAGAACTTAATGGTATAGGGGTATCTGGATGTCCTCGTATGTGAATCACACAAGGTTAGTATTCAGCTTTAGCAAAATGAAATATACAAAATCCTGAGGGGACCTGATAGGATGAATACAGGGATACATTCCCCTTGTGGGAGATGTGAGAATTAGGGATATTGTTTAGGAATATGAAGTCTTGCTTACATGATAGAGATGAGGAGAATATTGTTCGCTTATCAGGTCACTGGTCTCTGGAATTCTCTCTCCCACAAAGCACTGGAGCTGTATCATCAATTGTATATAAGGCTGAGTTAGCTAGATTTTTGATGAACAAGGGAGTGAAAGATTATTCGCAGTAAACAGGAGGTTGCTATTGCAAACACAATCAGATTACCCATGATCTTATCATGTGGTGGAGCAAGCTTGAGAAGCCAAATGGCCTCCATTTGCTCCTATGATCTTATATTCACATGTTCTTATGCCACCTGCCTATTGTAGACCATCACAATAAGTAAGTTCCATTTGTGGCCTGCATGGGTGCACTTCTGGGATATTTCTGATCAAGGACAGACGCGTAACTGAGAAACAAATCATGCAGATGCCTGGAGACAACTTGAGGAGCAGTTTCCTCAGGTCAGGAGGCAGCATGTGGATCTCTGTCTGGGTCGGGGCCGGGACTGCAGTGGGTGATGGTGGGGTAGGTGGGAAATACTTGCCGCAGAAAGCCGTCATCCCATCTGCCCTTTCTCCACCTTCCCTCTCCTGAACTACCGTCGCTTTCCTTTGTGCTGAGAGCTGGCGATTACTTTGCTGCCCTCCGGTGAGGGGCTGGACTGTTAGGGGGCAGCCTGTGCTTCCCCCTGTTCCAGCTGGCAATCTGAATACAGAGGCTGTTGCTGACTGAAGGCTAATGTACTCTCAGTTGGTGCCTGCGTTCCATGCTCCTTTCAAGTGGCCACTCTTCCTGTTGATGGAGATATCAGGGGAAAAGCCAAAGACATCATCACTCTGATGTTAGAGGCAGACTCTCACAAATCGTGGAAATGGGAAATGCTGGAGTACCTCACTTTTTTCTTTCCTGATGCTGCTGCAGAAGAGTCCTGTTTGTTGATAGTCCCTAAGGCACAGCATCTCCATCCAGCTGAAGAGTGCTTGGAAACCCCCTTCCCCCTCCACTGAGGAGAATCCAACTCTGCCCCTGTCTCTGTCAATGGCTCCTTCACATTTGCTTCACCCTGTGTCAGCCCCAGCCTGGGGGCAAGGGATCACTCTTGTGTATTTCCCTGAGCAACTAAACACCACAAGGAGCTCGAACAGTTCATCAACTTCACTAACACCTTCCACCCAACCTTAAGTTCACCTGGACCATCTCTGATACCTCTCTCTCCTTCCTAGACCTCTCTGTCTCCATCTCTGGTAGCCACCTGGAAACTGATATCTATTTCAAGCCCACCAACTCCCACAGCTACCTAGACTACACTTCCTCTCACCCACCTTCCAGCAAGAATGCTTTCCCCTATTCCGACTTCCTTTGCCTCTGCCCCATCTGCTCCCAAGATGAGGCATTCCACTCCCAGACATCCAGATGTCCTCATTTTTCAAGGACGCAATTTCCCCTCTACAGTGGTCGAGAACGCCCACGACCGCATCTCTTGCGTTTTCCACATCTAAGCCCTCTCACCGCCTCCCCGCAATAACAACAAAGACAGAATTCCCCTTGTCCTCACGTATCACCCCATTAACCTCTGAATACAACGCATCATTCTCCGCCACTTCCACCACCTGCAACCTGACCCCACTACAAAGGATATATCTCCCTCCCCACCCTTATCTGCCTTCCAGAGGGACCTCTCTCTACACGACTCTCTCATCCACACCACACTCCCCACTAGCCCCACCACCCCCGGCACTCGTCCCTGCAGGAGGTGCTACACCTGCCCCTACACCTTCCCCCTCACCCCCATCCCAGGCCCCAAGAAAACCTTCGACATTAAACAGATGTTCATCTGCACATCCGCTAATGTGGTGTATTGTATCTGCTGTTCTCGATGTGGCCTCCTCTACATCGGGGAAACCAAGCGGAGGCTTGGAGACCACTTTGTGGAACACCTACGCTTGGTCCGTGACAAATGACAATACCTCCCAGTTGCGAGCCACTTCAACTACCCCTCCCACTCCTTGGACGACATGTCCATCCTGGGCCTCCTCCAGTGCCACAATGATGCCACCCGAAGGATGGAGGAACAGCACCTCATATTCCGCCTGGGAACCCTACAGCCCAATGGTCTCAATGTGAACTTTACTAGCTTTAAAATCTCTCCACCCCGACCTCATCGTCCCTGGCTCCTTGGCCTGTCCATCTTTTCTCCCACCTATCCGCTCCTCCCACCTCACTGACCAACCCCCACCCCCAATTCCTACCTACTAGCCTCATCCCTGCCTCCTTGACCTGTCTGTCTTCCCTCCCACCTACCCTCCCCTCCCTCCTCACTGACCAACCCCCATCCCAACTCCTACCTACACTCACCTTTACTGGCTTCATCCCCACCTCCTTGACCTGTCTGTCTTCTCTCCACCTATCTGCTCCTCTATCCATCTTCTATCATCGCCACCCCCCTCTCTATTTATTTCAGAATCCCCTTCCCCTCCCCTATTTCTGAAGAAGGGTCCAGACCTGAAACGTCAGCTTTCCTGCTCCTCTGATGCTGCTTGGCCTGCTGTGTTCATCCAGCTCTATACCTTCTTATCTCAGATTCTCCAGCATCGGCAGTTCCTCCTATCCCTGGAGGGGACCAGGCTGTTTACCTCTGGCCACTTTTAGTTTCTGATTGCTGCAAGGAAGGGACAGAGGGGGATGCAAAGAGGTGTTTCCCCAGAGTGTGACCTCTTGAGACACCCTAGTGGAGGGGGTGGGTATGACCCAGTGTTGGGGTAGGGTTGTGGGGGTGGGGGGGGGGGGGTTGCGGTTTGGGGGCAGAGGGAGGGAAGAGTTTGTGGGATAACAAGGTGTAGAGCTGGATGAACACAGCAGGCCAGGCAGCATCAGAGGAGCAGGAAAGCTGACGTTTCAGGTCTGGAGATACTAGGAACTGCAGATGCTGGAGAATCTGAGATAACAAGGCGTAGAGCTGGATGAACACAACAGGCCAAGCAGCATCAGAGGAGCAGGAAAGCTGACGTTTCAGGCCTAGACCCTTCTTCAGAAATGGGGGAGGGAGGGGGGTCGAAGGCAAGGAGGGGTCTAATGGAGAGAGTCAGTGAGAGCTGCTGAGAGCCAGGGGCTGGGTGGGTGTTGAGGAAAGTCCATCCCCAGGGTGCGGACGGGGTTCCCTGAGCACTAGCTACCGGGGGAGGTGAGTGCTGTGGGATCTAGCACAGCCAGCGTCACGGAAAGTGGTGGTTTCACGCTGAGTAGCTGAGATCTTATACAAGAGGGTAGAGGGAGGATGGGTGGGGGCAGGTTTCTTGACTCATGGGGGCGGGGTGGTTGATCCTCTGGTAATATTTCTGCGTTATCTTTCGGGGAGATCTGGCAGTTTGTCAGCTGTGTGTGTGTGTGTGTGTGTGCCTGTCTCTCGCTCTGTGTGTGTCTGTGGAGGGTAGGAAGCTGATTGTGGGAGCGGATCCGAAAACCGCAGTTTGAAGCTGGGGAAAAGGGATACAGGGAGGGAAATCTCTGCTCTTATCCCTTTTCAGAAGCAGCCTGGCCCCGGTTTGAACATGAATAGCCGCTTGGCCGCTCTCTGCAGGATCGCTGTCCTTTTGACCTTCCTTTGGGCAGGTAGGGCTCACCACAGTCTCTGGGATCCTCTGCCTTCTCTTCGCCTCCTTCATTTGGGAGAAGTCCTCTTGTCCCCCTAGCTCTGTCTCTCTCTTCCCCCAAGATTCTAAGGACATCCCGCGGTTTTGGGGTGGGGTGGGGGGGCGGTGGAGGAAAAAGGCGCTATATATATATTTTGCCAGCTCTTGAGGAGATCCCGATGTTGATTTCCCCCTGTCCGCCCCGGGTCTGCTGTTTCCTGCACCATTCCTGTTGGTTTCTGTCTGTGAAAGTTTTGTCTTTTTTTTTCTGTCTCTCTCCACAGTCCTTGCGAATTCCAGCTTCAAAGTAGCTCAGTATCCCGAAATCCTGAACCAGACCGTCGGTTCCAACGCGACTTTCTTCTGCACCTTCCCGTTTGCTCGGGATGTGTCCAGGATCCGGGTGAGCTGGTGGAGGGACGGTGAGCGGGGTTTCCTCCGGGAAAAGAAGGATTCCAGGTATCACTTTGAAATCCGGAATAAAGCCAGCGCCGCCTTCCACCTCCGGGGTGTGGATGTCTCCGACTCCGGGCTCTATTACTGCCGCGTTAACCATGAGGGCAAGGTGGCTAGCGGGAGCGGCACACGGCTCCTGGTGACCGGTAAGTAAATCACATTTACACCCTTACCCCAACTCAACACGGATGGGGACGATTCCGCGAACGGGAGGCTTTTGTAATCTTAGTCAGATCCCAGATCAGCGAGAGAGTATCCCAGGCAGGAATCTAAAACATTGCTGGCACCCTTACTGACCTCCAGCTGCAGGGACAAAAACAAAGTTGCTGGAAAAGCTCAGCAGGTCTAACAGCATCTGTGAAGGAGAAAACAGAGTTAACGTTTCGGGTCCGGTGACCCTTCCTCAGAACTGATTCATTCATTCAGAGCTGGTAAGAACTGCCGATGCTGGAGTCAGAGATAACAGTCCAGTTCCACAATGTGTTACCTGAGACCCATTCATCCCTCTGTCTTCGAGACTGCCATCATTTCACACCCGGGAATATTGGCCCAAGGACCGAGAGACGGGGATTACAACGTGTTTAAGTCATGAGTTATTTCTCACTCCATTGCAGAGTCAAACTGGAAAACTCTCCACAAAAAAAAACAGATTGTAAATGAGCAAATGAAATTTTGGCATTTATTGCTCAAGGAATAGAGTATAAAAGTGAGGAAATGTTGCCGCACCCGTACAAGGCTTTAGTGAGACCACACCCGGAGTATTGCATAAAGTCTTGGTCTCTTTGAGGAGGGATGTAGTTGTATTGGAGGCAGTTCAGAGGAGGTTCCCAGATTGATTCCAGAGATGAGGGGTTTGTCTTAGGTAGAGAGATTGAGCAGTTTCGGCCCATACTGTATGGAGTTTAGAAGAATTAGAGAAGATCTAATCGAGGTGCAGAAGATGCTAAAGGCGATTGACAAAGTAGACATAGAGAGAATGTTTCCCCTTGTGGGTAAACTAGGAGAGGTTATAATTTTAGGACTGGGGTAGCAGATTTAAAACAGAACTGAGGAGCAATTACTTCTCTGAGGGTCGTGAATCTATGGGAATTCCCTACCCCAGAATGCGATGGATGTCTGGGACACCTAATAAATGTAAGTAGGAGACAGAATTTTAATGAGTTAATGGGTTAAAGGAAGGCAAGTGGAGTTGAGGTGAAGATGAGACCAATGCTGATCATGTTGAATGTCGGAGTAGACTCTGAATTGCTTACTCTTGCCTCTAGTTTTATGAGCCTCCGGACCCTGTGTCTCTGCAGAAGCCTGGGTTTTATGGGAATATTTGAGCAGGGATTGAATATCCCGGGGCTGGAGAATCCCCTTTGGATAACGATCTGATGGCGCCTCTGTGTCCATTTAATCCTCATTCCGAGATAGCAGGAACTGCAGATGCTGGAGAATCCGAGACAACAAGGTGCAGAGCTGGATGAACACAGCAGGCCAAGCAGCATTTCTGATGAAGGGTCTAGGTCCGAAACGTCAGCCCTTCTGCTCCTATGATGCTGTTTGGCCTGCTGTGTTCATCCAGCTCTGCACCTTGTTGTCTCTAATCCTCATTCCAATCAGTTTACCCCTGGCTGGCCCTGACCCTGAGTCCCTGAAACTAGCGGAATAACCATGTAATTTCCAGCCTTTCCCCGCAATCCTTCCCAACTTTCACTGAAAGGCAGATGAAACCGGGATTGAAATCCTGTTGAACATGAGCTGTAGCGGATGCCCTGGTTTCTCTTTAGTGTTACACTGGCGGTATGTAACACATTATCACCAGGAGAGAGGGGAATAGACCTGCGAGTGTTTAAACATTAAAAAAAACTTTAGACTTAAAATTACTCAGTGGGGGTCTGTATTAAAATTAATAAAGGCTAACATGAACATAAAATCAAACTCCATTAATTAGCGGATTAATTTACTCGGTTATTTTCTACAGTGAGATGGAATGGACAACAGTTGAAGGTTATAATATAGAGTTAACGCGGTGGCAATATTTCACAAACGCTTGGCGAGTTTATATCATTATCTCTCTTGTATCACTTGCGTGTAATGCTGGGGCTATATTCCCTCCCCTTATACTTATATCGTCTCCCCATATCCCTATAATCCCTCTCTTTATCCCTATATTCCATTCCCTAACCCTATATTTCCTC